AATACTATAAAAGCATTTCCTCTTATTTAATAAATTAAATTAATTTCTACTAAATTCATATTATAAGCTTTTAAAATAGAAACTTTTTTTAGAAATATTTATTTTCTGGTTTTATACTAGAATTAGAACTTGAATTTTCCGAATATTTTATTAAAATAAGAACTAAATACTTTAATAAAATAGGAATTAAACCCGGCTTAATTCTAGAAAGAGCTATTTTAGTTTTCTTATTATATTTAACTAAATAATACTTAATATAATTATAGTATTTAATAGCTAAAAGATCTTTAATTTTTATAAGATATTATTTATATTTATAAAAAGATATATATTTAAATAAAAGTAATAAATATAAGCTTCTTGAATTCTTTTTAGAAATATAAAAAAATATAATACTAGAAATAAACTTAACTAAAATAGTTTTTATTTTTTAATATTTTTTAATATTTTTATATAGCTTTAATTTATTAATTATTAGTAATATAATATTAAATAAAATAAATAGTATTAATAAAAGAATTATTATAATATATATATACTAATTTCTAGAGCTTTAGTAAAAGCTTTTTATTTAATTTATATTTAATATTTTAAAAACTAATATTACTTTTAGTAAATAATTATAGGAAAAGAATATAGAATTTCTAAAATATTTAACTAAAGTATATTTAAAGCTTATTAAAGTTATAATAAATATTTTATTAGAATTAGAATTAGAATATAACTTCTTTAAATAGAAATATAATTCTAAAAGCTAATAATACTAATTCGAACTATTTTTATTTATATAAAAATTAGTTAAAATAAGAGTATTATTATTTATAAATTTACTAGAAATATAAATTAGTATTTCCTTATAATTTATTTTTAATCTAAATTAGCTAATTATTAAAAATAATATAATCTCTAGTAAAAAGAATTAAATCTAAAAGTTTAATAATTCTAGTATTTCTAAAAGAAATATAAAATATAAGGAATTCTAGATAGAAATAAGTAAAAGATAATTCGGAATTATTTAAAAAAGAATTTAAAATAGCCGGAATTATAAAAATAATAGAAATAAATGAGAAATAAATCGAAATTATTTAAAAAAGAATTTAAAATAGCCGGAATTATAAAAAAAATAGAAATAACTAGAGCTATTATAAATTAATTTATTATAATTATATAATATTTAATATTATTTTTAAATTTAGTATTTTTAAAAATAGCTTTATTATAGCTATAAATATTTTTATATAAAAGAGTTTTCTAAATATTTTCCTAATAGCTTTTTATAATAATAATAATATTTAAGAATAAAGTATTAGGATTTTTAGTTTATTTATATAATTTCTTAATTATAATATAATTATTAGTTTCTAGAAACTTTATAATAAAAATAGAAAGTTTTATTTTTATAAACTTATTTATAAATTCTCTAGAAATACTAATAGAATATTTGATTTAGAAAAGGCTACTAATAAAATAATCTAAACTAGTAAAAGCTTTAGAAATCTTAGTAAAAGTTAATATAATTTCTGGTTATATAATATTCTAGAAAATTAATTTATTATACTTTTCTTTTATTATATTCTTTCTAGTTATTTTATTATTAATATATATATAAGGCCTATAAGATTATTATATTCTTTTTAGTTATTTTATTACTAATATATATATAAGGCCTATAAGATTATTAAATAGAGTTTAAGAATAATAATTAGATTACTAGCTTATATATATATCTATTATTCTAGAACTTAGTTAAAGAATAGCTTTTATATAAGGTTTTTTAATTTTCGGGGTTTTTAGAAAAAGTTTTTAATATATTACTAATATATATTTATAAAGATATAAAAACCTAATTCTTTTAGGAATTCTAAAGCTTTTTGCTTTTAGTATTCTAGAATCTATTACTTTATATTTCTGAAGTTCTATTATTTTAATAATATTTATATTTTTAAAGATTTTAAATTAGTTTATTTAAATTTTTTTATAAAATTAAAAGAAATAAGCTTTAAATACTATTATAAATATAGTATTTAGGGCTTAAAAAGCAAGATAAAAGATCTCTTATAAAAATAATTTAAAGCTAAAAAAGAGAAAACTAGAATATAGAAAGCTATAAAAGAATATATATATCTTATAATATACTAGTTTCTAAAGAACTTGGTTTTCTAAATATCTCTAATATATTTTAAATATATTTCTTTAATAAGGCGGCTATATTATATATATTTAGAAAATAACGAGATATAAGTAATAAAATATAAGTAATTATATTAAATAACTATATTAGCTAATAAAATTAAAAGCTAAATTATAATAATTTATAAAATAAAGAACTAGAATAAAATAAAGAAAGAAAAAAAATTAGTATTTTTTTTTAATATTTAATATATATTTAATAAGTTATAAATAATTTATTAATAATAATAAATAAAAGTAATAATAATAATATATTTAAAATTAGATAATTAAAATGCTTTAAATTAAAATCTCTAATTTATAGTTTAAATAAAATTATATAAATAATTAATAAAATTAAATAAAATTAATATATATTTAGATTTATTTATATATTTAAATAATATTAAAAAAGTTATTATAAAATCTAGTAAATATTTTAATATCTAAAATTAATTCCCTATTATAGAATTAATTAAATAAAAGGCTAAAAGCCCTATATAAAGACAAGTAATATTAAAATTTATTTAATTTACTAAATAAAAACAAATATAATCTTAATTCTTCTAATATAAAAATTCTTATAATTTTATATTATACTTAATTATTTAAAAAATCCTATAAATACTAAATATATTTATTTTCTATTTTATAAGGCTATTTTAAAAGGTTTTAGGAATTATATTAAGATTTAATATAATTTTCTAAAAATAGTAATTTTAGTATTTCTTACTTTTTAATAAATAAATAAATTTTAATATTACCTGCTTTTATAATTAGACTAGAAAGTACTTTTAATCTTATTTATAATATTAATTTCTAGATTAATAATAGAGACTTTAATAGTAATAATAATTATAATAATAAGCTCTATTACTTTGTTTTATAATATTACTTTAAATTAAGCTTTACTAAAAGCTATAATAATAATATTCTTTTAAGTCTTATAAAATCTTATTATATTATATAAGTTAAAAATATTTATTATAATCGGGAATTTTATAATATTATTAGTAAGAAAAATATTAATAATAAGATTTATTATATAATAGACTAGATTCTAACCTTAGTATAAGGCTATATATTATAGAAAATATAAGTATAATTACTAATTAGTAGCTTTAAAGCTTAATATTAATCTTATAATAAAGAAGAAAAGGGTTATAAAAATAACTTATTAAATAAATATAAAGCCACAGATAGAATATAGTAAAGGAAATATTAAGGCCAGCCTAGAAATCAGATATAAGGTTACTAATTACTGATTTAATAAGAAATAAGAAGAATTAAGGCAATAATACCAGGAAAGGAAATAGGGAATAATATAAGATATCGAAGTCCCGTATAATATATGGCATCTCGGATTACTTATAGGGCCAGATATTAGCAAAGACATATAAGCTATAAGTATCAGAGATATAATTAAACAGGCCCGGGCAAATGCTACTATTACTAAAGCTACTTTGAAACTAGCTTCCGCTATCCAGCTAATACGCCTGTCTCTATATAATCTTCACTTATCCTTTGCGGAACCGGAGAAACCAATACCTCCTTTAGCTCGTAATTACTCTCCTTCTTCCCACTGCCCTAGCGTGCCACCGCAGACCCCGACCAAATAACAGGATAATAGCGGAGTCACCCATAGCAGATCGGAAAAGCCGGAACGTATCTCTCCACCGACGCCATTGGAAAGGGGGATAGAGAAGGAGGAGGAGGTAGGAGACAGACAAGGACAGCCGCAGCAAGAGGAGGATATGGTAATACTAGTAATGGTGGCAAAGAATAGTTGTGATATCCGATGATTGCCCAATGCAAAGGAAGCGCAAGTACTATCTTTAGCAGAGATCCAGCCGCGAATATAGGGTATACTCAAAGTCCCGTCGACACTCTCCGAAGTCACAATCCGTCCCTTGATCGGGCTCCAAGAGCCACCCCGGGCCATGGAGCCGATGGTCGACTGCCTTCGCCGGCTCCTTCTGCGGCTCTAACCATGGATACAGAGATGTGTCATCTGACTGCCGCAACCTTAGTCGATCATCTAATAATATCCTGCCGACGCCGACCCCGTCCGCACTACATACACTGCTTCTCCTTTATAGCGGTGGTCTGGGAGGGTTGTGAGGGGCAAGGAGTCTCTTTTAGCTAGCTTGCCCAACTTATCGAGAGCATCGGCTTATTGGGAACATTGACGACTTAGCCATCAAGCCGATAGAGCAATATTCGTTCCTCTTGACTGGCTTTACCCGGTATACCTCATCTCGGCTCTCGTCCAGTGGCCCGATTGTATCGACTGCCGCGGAGGCAGGCCGTATTCATAAGGATGCGACGTGTACGCGACTCCAACATGGCAAAGCCGTGCATGCCGAAGCTCTTGCATTGCAGGGTGGTGAGCCGTCCAGCAACAATGACGACGGTGGTTTGACCGACAGCGATCCTGATCTCAGCAGCGACGATGACGGGTGTTCGAGTAAAGATAAGCAGGGTTCGAGCACGGGGATGAATATCCCATGGGAAACTGTAGACGAGCAGCGCTTGCTGGCGTATTAAGAAGGAGGACAAGTCTTGGGACTGGATCTTCGGCAAGTTCCCAGGCAGGACTCGGGCCGTAGTACGCACGCGCTAGACCATGGTACAGTGCAGAATCAAATAAGCTTCCTCCCACAGGTCGACACACAGCAGCTCAAGCTCTGTGTACCTACTTATCCCTTGGGGTCTGCCGGGACAAGTGTTTGAAAGGGACCTTATCCTTCTGGTCGGCCAGCCCCAACTGGGAGCACGTACGGTCGAGGGAAGCGGCGTTCAAGCCGAGGAGGATAGGGGGTATCAGATGCATGGGGGGAATACCACTGAAGAAAAATGGAGAGGTTGACATCGGAAGCAGACATGAGGCGCAACGTCTTTATGGGAAACAATTGGGGTATTATACAATAAAGTCGCGCGTACGCTGGCATCCCTTGTTTCTAGTTTCGATCGAACCGAAAGGGTCCCAGCTCTGGAACTCTTTCATCCCTCATTTGTTTTCACTATATCCAAAAGTCTATTCGCCAGAAGTTGCTTGCACTCTCCCTGCCTTGACTTATAGTCTTCTTCCTTCATGACCATTGATCTCCCACTGTCAACACCATCCAGCAATTTCACGGTAGCCGACAAACGCTGTATAGAATCGTATTCCCCATGCCAGCAACTTCGTATGATATTGTCGACTTGGTTATCGTCTGTTTTTGGGAACATCATCTTCTGAAGCAGGTCAACAATTACCGGTCCGTGACGTTCCCCAAACCATTCGTTATCGTAGGGCTCGTAACCACGGATCATGTAATAGAAGATTGACCCTATCGCGAATTGTTCCGTACGAGGGCCAAGATACCCAAAGCTTCCGCGTTGCTCTCCACCTTCATCGCCAAGTACTCTGGCGTAAGGACCGATGCCAACTTCAAAAGCGGTACCAACGGCAGCTGTGTTGTCAAAGTCGGCAACTTCAGGTGATTCTCACTGTGGAGGAGAAGGTTTGGTGGCCGAATATCGCCGTGCGCATACCCCAGGGACTCGAGCCAAGCAGCAGCATTGGATAATTCCGTCATCCACCTCAAAACCAAGCACCGTGGTTCACCATCCTCTACCTTCAGCACCAGGTGATTTGCACTCGCACGCAGCAGGACAGCGCAGGAGGACCTCTGTAATTGATGGTCTACTCTTACAGGGCTCTTGATAAAAATCAAAACAGTTTCACCAGGCAGAAGGAGTCTGGTATAGACAGCCGAGGCCAGAAAGGGCCCTTGCCCTTACCCTTACTAAGACGTCGAACATGCGCAAGCCCCTTGTTCTTGCGTATGAAGAGGGAAAAAGATGATGCAATATGCAGACTACTGCAGCCGCACTTTTCTGGAGGCATTTAACCACAACCCTTGTGCCTCTACTGTAGCACCGCAGGGATGCCATTGGCGGTAGTTTTCGTGGGCGTATTTCCTATTTTCGTCCTTTCTACCGATCTTGTCTCGTCACTCTCCATGTTGTCAACGTTGAACGTTACTTAGCTCTATTTTACCCGTTCTAAAACTTGAGGCTCCAAATATTTTATTTTTTTGGGCTTTATGTAGTACTTCCAAAAGACCCACACCATCTTGCCAAGCAGTTCCACTAGCATCAGGGTAGTACGTGGCAGATGCTAGAGTTGGGCCCTTTCGAGTGTTTGAATCGATTCATGCTCTCAATTCTCTTCGTATATCTTCATCGAAACCCGGTTTCCAAATCATTCTTCGCACTTGTAATGCCTACGGCGATCGAGAGGGTTTGGCAAGTGTGATTGCGAGCCCCAACTGGTTCTTGACCACATCTTGGACGGCGTGTTTCCCAGTACAAGCTTTTAGACTGGGCGAAATGGTCAACTTTCTCGATGGGGCAAAGTCGTAATTGCTTCTGGTATCGGGAGGGGAACGGAGACGCTCAAGCTGGCAGGGCAGGGGTACCGTCGCATCTTGAGTATTTCGCCGCATTGTATGACACTGCTGATCAAGCTCAACAGAAGCAGTATAGGAGGATGTACGCACCCTTGTGTCCCCAACCTTCTGCATGGATGGTCTCCGTCCCTGGAGTCTCCTGCAAACTTTGGTCGTCGATACTGGCAGGAGCATGCTCAGTGGTCTCAACAGCACTATATATCCTTTTGACTTGCATCGGTCTACGCTTCTCAACACATTTTGGGTCGTTGATGATGAAGGGGCTTATACTGCGTTAGAGAATCAGTACGCTTCGTCCAACACCCTCAAGAGCACCTACCTAAAGCTCGGGCCAGTTTGCCCTCAGCGGTCTGAGTTGCGGTGAGCGCAAGGAAACGTTGGGGATACCATTATGCAAGATCCAGGCACGAGTCCGAGTCAAGTTTGAATAGCCTGCAACAACCCGAAACTTCGCCATCTTGACTGACCATATCATCGAGGGGCGCAATCCAGTACCTCCAAGTTCGCGGTTCGCAGACGGGTCACATTAGGCTCACTGGAAGCACCGCCGTTCTGTCGAAGCTGTCGGATACACAAATCGTTCACGCGCCCTCCAATTCGAAAGGCAATCGACACCGTGCCTCTGCTTCAAGTCAACCACCGAGACTTCCGCGCATGGACGGTGGAGGTGCAGGGAAAGCGGGCCCTAGGAGCTGAATCGCCCATCAAGCAGCTGCTTACCGCTCAAGGAGGACGGGAGCTTCAACACCGCCGTTCTCTGTGGGTCGTCCTCGATGCGAGCATGATGCCATGATTTTGGGGAAGTTCCACGGGCTGGACTTTACACGCAACATCCCCGGCCCAGGGGTTGAAGCCTACCATGTGCTCGCGAGCGCCGAATCGAGTTAAGCCAATCTCTCGCTTCGTTCTCAATTCTATTTCGTCTTCTCCTTCAATGAGCATCCAATTCAATTCATCCTTTAGTTTTCTTTTCCAGCAAATTCGGCGAGACAGAGAGGGAATTGGCCCCCCAAAAGCGATCTCCTTCGAATCGACACTACACTCCTGTCACCGACATCGATGCCCTCAATTGGTCTAAAAGTGCGGATTGGGATACATATCGGCCTCAATGCCAAAGCCAAAAAAAGGGAAGAGGGTAATGATTTGGGTCTGGGTGTGTTGCACCTGCAACCACACCGGGATGACCCTCTCGATCGACAACTGCCCGTCCTGTGGGGCGAGCCGATGTCCGTCGTGTCAGGTGTTGAAGGTGCAGAGATGAACCTTCAAGGTCAACACGAAGAGCCCGCAGTCCATCCCTCTCAAACCGAATCACGGCACCAACACTCAATCAAGACTCCCCGTCTCCTATCTATTACAATCTGGTACGGAACCGCCAAGCACGTCTTGAGAGTGTCTTTTAGGTACGACAACGTAGATATCTCAGCTGGCGGGACTGGAAATATTGAGTGTCTCGAACAATGCGTGGACATGTCTTGTTCAGGGGCTTTCTTTGAGGGGTCTGGCAAGGTTTCCCTTTTACACGGAGTGAATGCTGGATTTATCGCATCTGCCCTGGCTCGACGATACCTGTACCACCGGGCGAGGAGGAAACATTGCCAAAAGAACTTCAGGACATTTGTGGATGATCATGCTGCACCAGGAAGCTTTGTTGGATTCGACAGCCCTCATATCATTCGAATTCTCAACGACAAAGGCAGAGTTCTGCGTGCTGCAGCAGTCCATTTCCAAGAATACCGTACGATTAGAGATGTTGGCAAAGACAACCGCCTCAGGGTACCTTCTATCGATGATTCTGATCTTCCATTCTACTCTGAAATTCATCGCCCTGATAGTACTACCCCAATGGACCTGGAGGCTGATGAACCAGCCTCTCCTCAAAACTCACTTATTAGAAAGTCAGGAAGGCTTCGTCGAAGAATTGAAAGAGTTTCAAGGCAACACAATACAGCCCTTGTTCCAGACATTCCAACCTTAGAGTCCTTACAATCTCCTTCTGCCCAATCCGATACACCAAGACGATCTGGCCGCCTGCGGAGGCGTAATGTTAGAGCACTCATAGGTCGCCAATTTCATCGCCAGCACCAATTCTCTGCTGCCATGCACGCCTCTATTGATATCCGAAATCAACTCGCCGGTGAGAATCAACATGCCCTCTTCTCGAAAGTCAATCAAAAGCTACCCACTATCAACCGCTTCTGTCTATTAGCTGAAGCTTCTCCCTTTGAGCCTTACGAATCTCAATCTTGGAAGCAAGCAATAAGTCGGCAAGACAGTGTGAAATGGCTCCAGGCCGCAAAAGAAGAGTTCGCTTCTCTCATTGGTAACAACACCTGGAATCTTGTAGAACCTCCTCACCACCAAAAGGTCCTTCCAGGCAAATGGATCTTCAAATACAAGAGAGGAACTAGTGGAAAGATTCTACGTTACAAAGCCCGATGGGTTGCCAAAGGATATGAGCAACAATTTGGTATCGACTACGATCAAACCTTTGCCTCTGTCGTCAAGCCCATGAGTTACAAAGCTCTATTTGCAATTGCAGCCGACCTCGACCTCGAAATCGAACAAATGGATGTCAAGACTGCCTTTCTCTACGGCCTCGTCGAGGAGTATGTTTATGTACAACAACCTACTGGCTTAGGTGACAATTCTGGACGTGTTTACAAGCTGAACAAAGCTTTATATGGTCTCAAGCAATCTCCACGCGTGTGGTATAAAACCCTCTCCGACTTCCTCGTCTCTAAAGGCTTCAAAGCCATTGACGCTAATAACTCCGTCTTTCCACGTGGTACCAGCTATATTGCCGTCTACGTTAATGACCTTCTCCTCATTGGACCTGACTCTATAGTCCTCCATGAGATTAAGCTCGAGCTTGCGCACAGATTTTCAATGACCGACCTAGGCCCAGTTGCTTTCTACTTAGGCATGTCTATTACTCGGGATCGTCAAAATCGCACTCCCCGAATCGGTCAGCAAGCTTACCTCTCTAAAGCTATTCGCAACGCTGGAGTTTGGGATGCCATCTGTGCAACTACACCTATGGAGTCTACTCGCCTTGAACCAGCGGAGGATGGTTACTTTGCTAAACCTGGTTTCAAGGCTTTATATCAATCGCACGTTGGTACACTGATATATGCCATGCTTGGAAGTCGTCCGGATATAGCCTTTTCTGTCTCTTGCGTGAGCAGATACGCTCCTAACCCAACGCCAAAGCACATGGTTGCCGTCTTACGAATCTTCAAATACCTCCATGGCACTCTTACACATCAGCTCACTTATCGAGGAGAACTGGCTGCGTTGTCAGGATACTCCGATTCGGACTGGGCTAGTAACATGGCAACGTCAAGATCTACCTCTGGATTCGTCTTCAATATCGGAAGTGGTGCTATTAGTTGGTCTGCAAAAAGACAGCCTACTATCACCCTGTCTACATGCGAAGCTGAATATTGAGGTTAAACCCAAGCTGCAAAAGAGGCAATCTGGCTACGACAACTCCTGCAAATCTCAACCCAAGCAGCACAACTCACGCCACGATAATCTACTGCGATAATCAAGGCGCTATTGCCCTTGCGAAAGATCCTCGATTCCACGCTCGAACGAAGCACATCGCCATTCAACATCACTGGGTTAGAGAGCAAATTGCTGATGAGACAATTCAGTTGGAATACGTATCGACTGCTAAGCAAGTTGCCGACGGACTTACGAAAGCATTGCAAAAAGCCCCTTTCGAAGCATTTAGAGACGCACTGGGCTTAGAAACCTGCTGACAGACCAACCTTGCGGTACTATGGAAGACGTTATAACTGCATAGAACGGTACTCTTCCTCCTGCCTTTTCGCTCGCAGAGGTTTTGCAGGGGGTTTAACGAGACCATGGCTATGGCAAGTTCCGGGAATAAATCTATATTTGGTTCATGTTTTCTCTTTCTATGACCTTTTACTTGTTTTCTATGGCGTTTAGGTCGTTGGGGAGTGTTGAAAGAGGACCCACTTATTTCACCTGCCTCCTTCAGATCCCTGTACATCATCATTCAGATATATATAGTCCCATCCTCCCTCACGAGGAAGGGCATCGAATTCAAGCCTTTTCACGCTACCCATGCCTCGTTCAACACATTCTGTATTGGTCCATGCACTATCGTGCATTACTAGCGGTGATGGCGATTAGACGACGGCAAGGCACGCTGAGGACAAAGAGTGTGGAAGAGAGCACCCTGGAGTGTGCTGAAACAATGGAAGGCAGGTATTTCAAGAAAAAGGGAGACCCTGAAAGCAGTTGTCCGGCGAAGCTGAAGGTTTTGGAAGAGAAGCCTGGAAATAGAAGTAACGCGGGTGGGCCGGAGAGTCATGAGAAGAAGCTCAAAGACCAGAGCTACGAGTGGTGAGACAGCTGTAGTGGTCTTGTCCCTCTGGGTTTCCCACTGCGATCCTCTCTGAGGGGAGCCAAATGGGCTGTCATAGAGTTGTGAAGCGTTGTGAAGAGAAGACGACCTGAGTGTGTAATTGCATTTCTCCCTGAGTAGCTGAGCTTGAAGGGGAGTGTTAAAAATGTGGGTTAAGCTAAGGATTCAACTGGCTTGGCACGCACATCACATTTATATACAAGAAAACATTGTAGTGAATGAGGAGAATCGATTCAATCAATTTATAGCTTGGCTTGGAAACCCCAAGGAAGCTCAGGAACTATTCGGACTTAGCGTCATTTCGTCGCTTACGGGGACGACTTGGACGGTTGGATAGACGCGATGCATCTTGGAACATCACGGTCGCCAATTTGCTCGTAACATTCCGTCCCCAGATTCCTGGATGCTGAATAAGAATGGGAGACAGAGGAACTTCTGCCTTTAGACAGTGCCTATCATTCATCAAGTTCCAACTCGCCTGAACAGCCCATCGGAGCTCGCGATCGATCGGTACCTCCTTCGACAGCACGACTCCCCACCCTCACATAACCTACCAATAATGCCGACCCCTCTATTGCTCGTTGGAGCCCGATCAGTTCTCGCTTTTCGAACCTCTTGACGGGAGCCAATAATCGATGCAAGTGGTGAAGCTCGGCTCACGGATCTTGGGCTTCTGTGGTGTCTCGTTGGGCCACTTCAAAGCGCCCAAATCACCGAGAGGGTACACACAAGAAGTGTGCTGGCAGCAAGGATGGTCTGCTGCGCCACGGCCGTTGCCAAAGTCGAAGAGAGCCGGTAGTTGGCACCGAGAGTGGTTCCTACAGGAGGATTGACTTAACAAGCGTATATCATCCTTCCCACTGGCTTCAGGCTCGAAAGGACAGGGACCCATCTCGTAGGCGTATTTAAAATGTATGGCACTTATTTATGTGGCTTTTTAAGGCGTCGACGCAATCCTGGTGCTTCTCAACGGCAATCCTAAAGTCTCGAAAACGTTCTGGAGCCGTAAGTTCATGGACTTCCACAAGGCTCAGTCCATTCCACTGACCAAGAATCATCAGGTTTCAGGACCCGATCAGCCGTTACTGCATCTCAGTTGACCTGAACGGTGAAACGTTTCAGGCCTACAAAGCATCATGGCTGCAATTCTCAGTTGGGTCCAAATTCAGTGTATCTGACATTATTTTTCGCTTTTTGATATCAGTTGGGCGACAATCTTCTTCACCGGCACTTTCGGCTCTATATATGGTGACACCAACCTCAAGCCGTTTGTAGCCTTTTCCTATCAATTCAGAATGGGGCTGTTTGAAATGGTTGATTCCAGTGGAAACAGCTCAGCAGAGGTGCCACGTTGAGTCTCCTGAAGTCAGGCAAGAAGCCTAAAACCACGTCGGTCTGCATTTCGGCCACGATTGCAGTCTCTCTCTACAGCCTCATGTTGTATTATCTCTTCATAGGTGCGGATGAATTCAATATAAGATAATACGAACGAAGGGACAGCATATCAACATCCCTAGGATGTTCTGCTCCCAACAAATGGACAAAACAGCGGGAAGGGTTTTCACAGCCCCTCCCAGATTTCGGAGGAGAGCTATTGTCTGGTATCGTTACTTTCCAATCCTGCTGCCGTGTGGAAGTGTCCTCAGCGATGCTGTAGGGTTGGCTCTTTTCATATCCCAGTCTCGCTGAATACAATCGAAATCCGAGGTTTGGAAGGACGTTGAGCCAATACTCCCGACCTTGGAACCTGTTGATCTTGGCGACGCGCATTAGTGATGATAGATTCTTGAGAGTGGGCCAGTCTAATTTGCAGCTTCGGCGCTGCACTGCAGCTGGGCGAAGAACAGGTGTGCGTCGTCGAGCCCGTTGAATCGTTTCTAGGGTTCCGGTAGGATTGCCTTGCATGAAAAATTGGATGGACGATACGCTGCCAAGTATTAACGGTGTCACAATGTACTGCACATGAAAGCATAAGTACTTCACGCCCACCGAGCTCTGTATCAAGTGCCACCAAGTCTTCCCGATCTCTGTTTGTGACCTTCTCTGCATGATTATCACTTCCGGAGGGCTAACCCATATTGGCCTTTTTTCCTCAATCGAGTGCCTATCCAAGTTGCCTCATTCTCTTAGCTCACACAGCTTGTAAATCACTGCCACCCAGTGGTCTGAAGACGACTGGCCCTAGGCGAGGCAATGTCGACAGCGAAGAAGGGAGACCTTTCTCTTTGGCCTAAACTGTTTACAGAACGACGAAAATTCAGTCGCGAGGCCGAGAACGAGCCGTACATTGAATTCTTGCAGACTCCAAGGTTTAACGGCCAAGAGTATGAGGAGGATGAGGATGAGGATGAGGATGAGGATGAGGATGAGGATGAGGATGAGGATGAGGATGAGGATGAGGATGAGGATGAGGAGCAAGAGGAGGGTGATGATGAGAACGAGATTGAAGGGGAAGAGGATGACGAAGATGACGCAGTGGAAGAGGCAGTCTCGAGTGGGCAGGGGAGTAGAGTTGAAGGCTACCGAAGTAATAGGGGAAACAAAGACCAGGACCTTATCAATGACGGCAACGCCAGATCTAGCAATGGGCCCAGTAATGTGAGACTTTTCATGACAGGCTTCTCAGGAGAGGAGGACGACCTTCATCATCGCAATCAAGTTGAAGAGGTTGCCAGTATTTGCGAGCAATGGACTCGTGAAAAAGGTGTGGTAACAAAGACGGGCAAGCATGCGAAGCACGTGGCCTTCCTGGACGACAGAAACTGTCGTGGTAATGTTTTGACGAATGAAGGAATTTCACCATCGGGGGATTGCAGGCCGTACCTAGGGCCTTTGACCGCGGAACGCTTAGGCAAAGAATTGAGCCGGAAGGTATCCTAAACTTCCATTATGCCATCAGAGCCCTAGAAAAGCTAACCCGCGTCGCAGCGTTTCGGAACAGTATCGGAGCAGAATAACGCCACGAATGCATTTGATGATGAGGAAGCTGATGCGGAGAGGAGGGTGATGTAAGTCATGGGGTTGGTATGGTGTATTGTTGTGATCTTGGCTAACCCGAATAGTTTTATCACTGATCTGGATGCTTCGACAATTGAGGCTCTTGTAACGACAGCATCACGCAGCCAAGCTCCGGCACTCAAGGATCTATTTTACAAACACCTAACGAGGAAAACTTCCATAGGAGTTACCATTCCTGTAAGTCAAAATGGATGCATTATCCATTATAGATTACCTTGCTGACTGCCACCGTTCTTGGACAGCCCACATTCTTCCCTAGATTCACACTCGATTTCCATATTCCATATTATGTATCGAAGATGGCCGAAGCGCCAATTGAAGATACTCGGAAGAAATCCGATGGCAACCCTTTCAGGCAGTCCTGGAAATTGCCGTTTCTATCCTCGTCTATGAGTGAATCGAAGCCCACAAAAGGGTTTTGTTATTTATACGAGGCCCAGGTAGGTAATTGAAAAGGGACTTTTTTCTTTCTATTTGAAATCGTTTGATGAGTTTTTACATGTAGACCATGTCTCGGGGTAGCTTCTCAGAACTCCTTCGCAATCGACCATTCGCTAACCTCCCGATACTCCGTAGATGTCAGTTGTTGTCACAGGAATTGATCACTGGGTCTGGACTGCGTATGGATGTGTTGACACATACTTTGGCTCAGAGGAGAGCGTGGACGGCTACGACCTGATGAAAGGACGACGTTGCCGACGGTGGGGACGGCCAGACCCTCTTGCGGCCGGTCAGATCAACGCTCACGAGCCGATATGGACGCCAAGAGAGTACTTTTTGAAAGTCTTTCAGGTCCGAGTGAGCCAAATTCTGAGGGAATGGAATTTGATAGGCAGCAAAGTGGAAGAGGAAGTCAAACGGTACGTGTGAAAATTTCTTCAGCAGACTCGTGTGCTTTTCGCCCCTAGATCACTGCTGAGAATTCGTTTCATTTACTTTACCTTCCATCGATATGTTAGTGGGATGGTTCTTCCCTTGCAGCTTGATTCAAGTCTTCTTAAGGGTTTATGTCGATGGCGAAGAGTAATTGACCTTTTCACGAGCAGATCCAGAACAATAGCGGACACCTTATTTCAGCTGTCATCGACTGACCCCAAAGCCAGACAACAAGTGCGGGATTTCATCCTATGGAATCACCAAATGATCAGCCTTTTACGGCAATTAATGATCGGTCTCTTGGACACCGTTGAGGTCTGGGACCAATTTACGGAAAAAGAAATTGGGTTCTTTCTCTGCCAAAGCGATCCTCCGAACGCCTTAGCATCCCCCCTTGGTGCCATAGAAAAGTCCTTTCAGGAGATGAAACGGCTTCATAACAAACTACAGAACCTGAGGAAAGAACTTCGCGAGGAGAACCCACAACGTGTAAGTTGTCTCTTCACCCCGAATTTCAGATCGAAATGCACCATCTATGCGGTATTTGAGAGATACTGTGACTAATTAACAAAGCTCAATGCTCATCTGAGTCTCGAAAATAACGATTCTACCATATCCCAGCAGGGAATCGCGCAAAATATTCAGGTTTTTACTATTCTTATGACCGTAAGTTCACCTGGAAAGTACGGGGTCGGCATAAGATCTGATGTGCTAAATTTTCCAACATCCAGTTATTCTTTCCTCTGGGTCTTGCCTCAAATCTATTCAGTGCCCCGGGAGTTATGCCATCCACGAAGGCGAATCTTCCAAATTTTATATCCGCAACAATCTTCCTGGCAATTCTCATGGGCGCGACAGCCGGAGTCTTGTTCAACTGGCGCTCGTGCCTGCAGCACATCATCGCGTTGCTCGGTTACGTTCGGAATGCAATCATCTCTTGCGTAGAACGACCAGTAAGAGAAGAGACCTGCGCCGACATGAGCGATACGCAAAAAGCTTCGAAATGGGGATTGCCAATTTGGAGAAGCAGAAGGGCGGATGTCGTGGAGCAATTGGACCTTGAGAGCGCGGCAGGAGAGTAAATGCAGAGTGGACTTGAACAAGGTTGATTTCAGATCCTATTACTTGCCATCCTGAACATCTTGGGAGTGCTTCGGTCTCTTATCTGTTCTCAAATATTTTATAATATATTTATTACTTAGAGAGCTCAAATATTTTAAGAAATATAGTTTTATTTCTTTTCGTTTTTTTATTTCTTTTCTTTTTAAAGAATTCTATTTAGTTAATTAAATTACTAGTCTATTTTATATAAAGGTCTAATTTATAATATTAGAATTCTCTTTCTTTTATTTTTACTAACTAGAGATTATATATATATATATATAAAACTAAAAATAAAGCTTGAAATAAATAAAGCCAGAAATAGACTTTATTTAAAACTATTTATAAAGTTAATATCTTAATAAAACTTTAAAATATATAAAAGCTAATAATAAGAAATACCTAAAATTATATATAGAAGCTAAAATACTAATTTAATTAATTAATACTAGAAATTACTTGAGTTTTTATAAATCCGGCTTAAAAAGTGTGATGTGTGTAGGGTCGCACGTGACTTAAGGGCATGTGACGAACCTCGGATGTCGCGGGTGTCGATCAGGGAGATCGGAGGCCCTCCGACTTCACAACCAACCACTGTTTACATCATAAGCATTAGGCTTATAAATCACTAATTATATATACGTCATCGGGGCCTCCTATTTAGAGGGGGCTTCCCTGGACCTCACAGGAGGGACAGAGATTAGTTCTGTACTGAATTTAATACTGTGGTTTCACAACTTACTAATTCATTCTATTATCTTATTACCTACTAACAAACACCTCACAAAAAGAAAAAACTACTAGATTTTTCCATTATATAAAGATTTAGAAATAAGACTTCTAGTAATTAATTATATAAAACTAAAATAATATATAAAGTTCTCTAATAATTATAAAAAGCTTTTATAATATAGTTCTAATAGCTATTAGAGCTAGCTATATAATAAGTAAACTTAATAATAAATTTAGTTATATAAATTAATTTAATTAATAAATATATAATAATTTCGAATTCTTTATAAATATAATATTTAAGGCTTAGAAAATAAAGTAAAAGGTTTCTTATAAAAATGATTTAAAATTAAAGAAAAGAAAACTAGAATATAAAAGGCTATAAGGAAATATATATATCCTATAATATACTAGTTTATAAAAGGCTTAGTTTTTTTATAAAATATTTCTAATATATTTCAAATATATTTAAAAGATAACAGAATATAAATAATAGAATATAAATAATAAAATATAAATAATTATATTAAGTAATTATATTAAGTAATAAAATTAAAAGCTAAATTATAATATTACTTTTTTTTTAAAAAAAAATAAGCTTATTTTCGAGCTTTATAAAAACTATTAATCTATTTTTATATTTACTTTATATAATCTTAAATAAGCTATTATAATTTATATAATTAATTTATTAATATTTTAGTTTTATTTTTATTTTTATTTAGCTTTTCCTTAAATAAACTAGCTTTAATAAGAAAGTTCTAATCTAAAGAAATATAAGAATTATAGTCTTTTTTAGTTATAAATAGAAATTAGCTAATAGTTTTATATTAAAAAAAGGTTTATTAATAATAATTAATATATAAATATAATTTCTAATTAAAGTACTAATTAATAATCTTTATTTATTTAAGAATAATTAGCTATTAAAAGCTTGAGCTTAATACTAAATCTTATATAAAATTTATTTTAAAAATCGAATATAAATTAGAGTTTTTAATTTAATATAATTATTTAATATATTATATAAAGTAAAAATAGAAATACTACTTATTTAATTATAATTATATCTTATACGAGAATTATAATTAGATATTTAAATAAGTAATTTATAAATATAGTAATTATATTATAACTTGCTTTATTTTTTAAATAATTAAGAACTAGAAGAAAATAAAATAAACTAGGCTTTTTATTTCTTAATATATATAATCTTTTATAAATATAATAATTACTATAATATTAATTAATATTTTTATTTATAAATAACTAGTAATATTATTTTTTAAATAATTAATAAAGCTTTATATATTTAAAATATTTAAAAAAGATTTTATTATATATTATAGTAATTATTATATTTATAAAAGATTATATTTAATAAGAGCTTCTAATAATACTTTTATAAGAGTAATTATAATAGAGGCTATTAATAAAGCTTTTAAAAGAATATTTTTTTCTAGAAAAATTATATCTTTAATAAAAAAAAATTTAAAAAGTCTTTAATATATATTTGATTTTTAGAACCGAATTCTGAATTAAATAAGCTAATTTTATAAAGTATTATTATAAGCTATAAGTTATAAATAATCTCTAAATTAATTTTATTTCTAGAAAAAAATACTTGAATTTATAACTTTTTCTTAATTTGGTTTTAAATATTAATTTTATTTTTATAATAAAGTATTTATTTATTTATTTAATTTTTTAGAATAATATATAAACTTGAAATAATAATAAAATAAAAGTTTAGCTTATCTAGCTTATTAAAAAAAGAGCTTTTTAATAATTATAAAATACTTTAAAATATAATAATTAAAATAAATCTTAAAAAGAATATTTTAAAAGTCTTTTAGTTTAGCTTTTTATTTCTCTAATACTTATATTATAATAAATATCTTTTTATTATTTATATTATAATTAAGCTTTATTAAAAATATAATTTTAAAAAAATAAGCTATAAAATATTAAAAATCTATTTTTGAGTTTTATTAAAAAAATAAATCTATAATTATTTCTATTATTATAATTATTTCTATTATTATAATTATTTCTATTATTATAATTATTTCTATTATTATAATTATTATAATTATTATAATTATTTCTATTATTATAATTATTTCTATTATTATAATTATTTCTATTATTATAATATTATAAAACTAAAATAGAAATTATAGCTTTTTTTAGATAATTAAAAGCTATTTAATATTACTTGAATTATTTAAAATAAAATATTTATAGAAATTATAAAGCTAATAAAGAACTATATATTCTTAATTATTTTTAGGAATTACTAGTTATATATTACTTTAATTTTATTAGTATTAGTTTACTAGTAATATATAATATTATTATATAATTATAAAATACTATTTATATAAAGTTAGTAAAGTTATTATTTAGAAATAGGAATTATAATATTAAGATATTAATATATAATCTCTAAAATTACTAAGCCTAAAAGAGTCTAGTTTACTAATTGAGTTATTTATAGAATACGAGATTATATAACTATATTTTATATCTTATATTTTATTATTTATATCTCATATCTCATATCTCGTAATTATATATATAATTTCTAAAGAAATAGCTATACTAATATTAGAAACTTTCTAAAAACGCGAAAAACTAATACTTCTTTCTAATTATATATAAATTCCCTAATCCGGCCTAGTATTAGACTTCCTAAATACTTTATATATCTGTATTATTTCTAAGGTTTTAGTTATATATTAAAGGCTATAGCCTTTTATATATAACTTCTTTTCTTATAATATTCTTCTATTTTATATATCTATTTCCTGCCTTATTTATACTCGATTTATTTCTCTATATCTAATTATATAATATTTATATTAATTAGATACTTAAGGATATTTATTAGCTTCGATTTTATTATAGAATTAATAGAATTTAATTCTCTTTTAATCTATTTAACTTCTATAATCTCTTATTATTTATATATCTAGTAAAGATATATTATATTAATTATTAAATACTTTTCTCGAGTTATTTCTAATTTAATAAAGTATTAATATAATAACTTCAAATCTATATAAACTACTAGTAATAGTTATATTTTTAGTACTTTATTAATTATAGATTTAACTAAAATACCTATATTAAAGCTATAAGTTATATTATAGAATTCTAAAGCTAGAATACTTCTAGTAATTCTCTTATATTTAGTAAAGAACTAGTAAATAATATTAGTATATCTAGTTTCGTTTATTAGAACTAGAATATATCCGATTTAAGAAAAGAGTTCTTTATTATTTATAAATAAAGTATTTATAAAAATAATTAAATATAAGAATTTCTTTATTAGCTTTACGAATCTTAATTCTCTAATAATATTCTTAATTTACTATTAAATATACTTATTAAATACCTTTATATTAGTCTCTAAAAATTTAATAGCTTAAATAGTAATTAATAGGTTATATAAAGCTTTTAGTTAATAGACTAATATAATATATATTTTTCTAATATATTAGTTCTTAATAAAAACATCTTAATAAATAGTACTTCTATTATTTATAGTAATAATATTCTTTATAAAAATAGTTTAAAGGTTTTTATATTAGTATTTCTATATAAAAGTAATTCTAGTAGTATTTATATAAATAATACCTTTATTAAATTTGAAATTATAATTAATAATAAGGTATTTATATTTCTTAATTAAGAACTTAGTTTTTTAAAGCTTTAGTTATTCTATTTTTATAAAATTATTAGTTCTAATAAATAGAATATTATTAGTTTAAAAGCTAATAATTTTAAAGAATTACTTATTATAAAAAAGGCAAGAATTATAAGTTAATTATTTTATAAAAAGCTTATTAATATAATAGAAATAATAAGTTTTAAACTAGTAGTTTCTAGCTTCTAATATATTATATAATAGTTTTATAATCTTTAGAATAGAATTATTATTTAGATTTAGTTCTCTAATAAGCTTATAAAATAAATTAATATAAAAATTATAATTAAATAAGGTTATTAATTAGATATAAGCTTATAAGATATTATATAAATATAGTTCTATAATATCTATTATTATAGTAATAATACTAAGAATAATTCTTTAGCTAATATATTAAATAATAAGTAATTATATTAATACTATATATTTATTACTATTATTATAAGCCTAAATAACTAGTTTTAATTTCTTAAACTTTTTCTTTATATCCTTATTATTAATCTTATTAATAAACCGGGAATTAAAAATATATATTTCTTTTAGTACCTAAAATCTAGAAATAATCTTAAATATATTCTTTTCTAGAAAACTAGTAATTTTAATTTAGAGAAAGTTCTTATATAGGTTATTATCTTATAGGAATACTATAATATCCGGGTT